ATAATTAATTATCAATAATTAAATTTCTTAATATTCTGTAATTGATACTGTTTCCCATATTTATTTTTGATACAGAAAATTAAACGTGAATTAATAATTTTCCACCAGTAAGAACTAGTTTTTAAAGATTATATCGATATATGGCCAATTTCCATACTATCGGGTAAGAATGTACATCTGTAAATCACTAGAATGGAACTCTCTGATCCTGTTCAAAATTGATTAATCCTGAAAGAAATCATACACATTTCATTTATCAATTTTATTTGTGCATTACATACCGGTAGAGGGAAATAAGGGTACAGTACCCGCATCGTTATTCTTTACAAATCTATCGCGTTCTATTGTGCGTGTATCCTATCGCATCGTTCGTGTATCGTATCGTATCTTGTTTTCCGCTTATTGTGTTTTTCGTTTATCGTGTAGGTCGTTTACGAGGTTCTATCGTGTATCGTGTTTTGCGTTTATTTGTGTATATTCGGAAACCCTCGCTTTTTATCTTAACTACAGGAAGAAACTACCGAGGTATTCAGAGTTTCTTTTTCGTTTTGTTAACTTAAATAAGATTATTTTAACCAAAGAAGAGAAAAGAAAGTTTTATCCCTTAGTTTTTCATCGTTAAAAGAAATATTAAAGCGTGGAAGGGAAAGAATAAATATTTAAAGAATATAATTAATAATTTAAATAATTAATAATGAATTAAATTTAGAAAATAATCATATAATAGACAAGCATAGAATCAATATTACTTTTTGAAAATGAAATAATCGATACCCTGTTTCTTTTTTTATTCATCGAATTGCATGATTTTTAGGTCAAATTAAAATTAATTTTTCTTAATTAGTCAGAGTCACTAGAGGATGATTTTCGGTAAGTTACGATGATGTATACGTACCCCCCCCCCTTCGATTCCGTACATACGATGCGGGTTTATTACTACTTACATGTTCATTGTATAACTTGCTACCGCAGATCGCCAGTCCTTACGCAATGAATCGTCAAAATGAATAATGAAATTACACATTGAACTAACGAACTATAAAAATTGAAGATTGATTAATGTATATATAAAATAAATACCCCAGCGTTTTCTTTTAAAGTCAAACCTAAGATATTCTAAAATATTCTTGAAAGATTCGATTTATCTACAGAAAATAATGTTTTCCGTAAGTTTGTAAAATTAGATTAAACATTCGACCACACTGTGTAAATAAATGTCAACATGCGATGGAAGGAATTATTGGTCGCGTAATTGTAAACAAACACAAAGCCTAGATAGCTGTTCTAGATGAAGATGTATCACGATCAAATTTAAAACAAAGATAAGCCAACATATTAATCTCATTTTAAAATAGTTTTAATACACCAATTATTTTGTCTATGACTACGGGGTCAATGGTTCGCCGCGGTGTGTCGCTTTAGATTTTCTTGGACACGTGTAATCGTAAGAATATGCAATGGTACACACGCTTAAAATCTGGGTTCCAGGTGAATGTGAGAATCGCGCGGTAAATAATTTTTTGTATTTTTTGACTCTTTAAAAGTTCTGTTTATGAGATCCGGGTGTGTATCGTTTTCGTTCATATTGTTTGTGTTCATATTTAAACGAAGAAAAGATACTAGCTCGTGCTTTTTCTACAACTCTTTCTCTTGGAAAGATCTTGATTAATAAAATGAAAATGATTAAATACTCTGAACGGGAGCCAAAGAACACGTTTAAAACCTAATTGAAAAAAAGATATATGATACAGCGTTGTAAAATATTTATTACTTACGGCAGGTTTAGTGCAATTAAAAGTTTTCCTTCAATAGCAAGATGAGAACTGTCAAGCTTTCTTTCCTATAATACGTAAGACTCGAACAAAATAATATTTTCATTGGATAGAGATGGTATTAAGGTCAAGATCTAGTAAACGAAGGGTGCCTACAGATTTATTAGATTCAAGAAATGAATTCCTTTACTGATGCCTTATAACTTTAGCTTGGTCAAAAAAGGTGTTTCGGGGCATAATTTGTAGGAAAATAAGATGAAAAACCATATTTTAAACTGTTATTTTCAATGAAAAATTAAAAAAATTAGACATGAATATGGGAGTTTTTTTCCATAGCACACAACAAATTGTATCCAGATTGCCTACAGTCTTTCTGAAAACCGTCATTTGTATGTTCTTGGTCTCTTCTTTTACACACTGTTAAATTTAATATAGGTATCCGGACTACTTTTCATGTGATTTCAAATTGAATTCCATGAAAATACTTTATTTTCTACTTAATTCTATTAGAGCCGAAAAGTACATGCAAAAGAAAGTTTAAAGTGATTATGACGTCATAATGGATCTAGCACCAAAAAGTCAGTCTAAAAGCATTTACTAGATCTTGACCTTAAGGAACAATTTGATATATTAAAAAAAAATTCAACCATTCTGTGTTTTTATTTGTGTATAACTGTGGGTCGCTGGATTACCCGCCGATTGATTCCCGATGACCGACTTTGCCCTGCGTTATCGAGGGAGCCGCGTTATATAATTGTAAACAAACTAGGTGAATGTAAAGGCGTGCGCTTAGTAAATAAGCATGACAATTAGGGGAAAAAAGCACAAAACACTTCAAAAACTTTATTCTAAAGAATATTAGCATCCAATGTAGCCATGATTTTTATTTCAAGGAAGTTTGTTTTATATACACGCATGAGAAGCACTCATTTACGAGCTGAGTGAAAACAATTACCTGTACATATTTAGGTCATGCATCTAGCTCATTTTAAACAGGACAAGAACAAAATAACAATTTCATAAGATCAGTAAGATGCTAAAGCACAACTTTATTATCAAAAGTCATTGGAAATATTAATCGTTTTTGAGATATATAGCAAATACTTTCAAGGGCACTAGATCCCTAACTCTAGGGGTCAGCCCCTTTTTAATGATATCAAATGAAAGCTCTTGAAATAATGCACAACTTTTATTCTATATGTCTTAACAAAATATTTTTCGTTTTCAAGAAAAAAAGGAAAACATGTGTAAATTTTCACTCTTTTAGGCGTTCTAATTTTTGACCCCTAAAAAGCGCCATTTTAAACACAGAAATCGAAAAACAAAAACCGATGTGCACAACTTCAATCCTTCTGTTATCCAAATCCAGTATAATTTCTGTTCAAGCTTTTGTGGTCTCTGAGCCTTTATCCGGAAACAAAAGCCTACAATTTTTCTTATAAAGGGGAATAACTCATAAGCATAAGTAAATTTTTAAATTGTTAGACATTATTCTGATAGAGTTTATTACCATCTATAATGTCTGAAAATTTGAGCAAAATTTATTAAGAAATGAGTGAGATATGAGGCCTCAAAGTTGCGGTCTAGGAAGCAGAAGAAAAAAAAGAATAAGAATCTTGACCAACAGAATCAGTAGAAGGTCTTCCGTTGGAAACGGAAGACCTTAATCATAATTCAGCTTTCTGAGACATCCAGTGTGTTTTTTTTCTTTAATTAGGCCCTTGAAAATTGGTTGTTTCTTTGCTTTTAATCCCTTCGCGAATTGTTGTGAGGACATTGAACATTTCCTCATCGCTCCAAATTTAGACATACTGCGCACTTTTTTGCCATTAAGCACTGGGGATCTTTTTTGAGCCAGCATCCTCTGCGACACTGGACACAAGTTTTTATGGTCCCTTTTGAAGGACCGTTTTCAATGTTCCTCATCGGTATTTAAACCTGCGATTTTAAATTAGAAACTTACGTCTTATCTTCAAAGCAAAATGCTCTAGAACCATTGCAAATCTCATGGTCCGCAAAAGTTCATTGACTGTGTATAATTAAGCACTGGAGGATGATTTAAGGTTTGAAAAAAATATGCTCGGATATCAAGTCTTTGTGTATTTGAGAATCATGTTTTTTTATTTGATTTATATAAATTTACTTTGGCGTGAGATATTTCATAAGTCGATCATCTAAATTACAGGGGGAATTAACTGATCATGATTTTTGCTTTTAAACGGCGTATGTTTGATACTTTAGTTACATGTAGTTAGAATGTATTTTCAAAGCTGCTGTCAGAAAATAAAATTGTTTACCTACCTACCAATTAAACTTGAGAAATTAGGGTCTATCACATATAGGTCCTCTGAATTTTAATAAAAGGGCAAGAATTTTAAATAGAATGTGATTTTCAGAAAATCATTGAGCCGGAATTAACTTTAGATGAATCGGCACTAACCCTTAAAATTTGAAGCAAATCGATTCAAAGATCTCTGAGAATCATCTGCACAAAATTTGTGCAGGAAAAATAAAAAGAAAATTTAAAAAGAAACATAAGAATGATAGAAGGGTTTTCCGCTGAAGATGGAAGACCCTAATAGTAAGAAACAATAGAATCACTATAAGGTCTTCCGTGAAGATGGAAGACCATAAAAACGTCAGTCAGCATTTGACTCAATGATACATTGCTTTTGCTGACAAGATCATTGTATCGATCATAAAATTTACAAAATGATAACTTTAAAGACACAGCTAATTATTTTGTTTCATCAACTTGTTTGTCAATAGTTTACCCAATTTTAGAAATTGTTCATACGTAGAGCATGCTCTTGCATATGAAATCAACTGAGATATATAAACTGCTTAAGCAGGTGATGAAGGTATATTGTTACAAAAGTAAGGAAAGTTGACGATAAAATAGTTAAAATTTGTTATACATGCGTTCTACATGAATCAATCTGCAAGTACAGAAATTCTGCGGTTCGTCGCTATGCTAAATTATCGGCAAACAGCCACCCCCCCCCCCCCTCTCAATAGTCGGGCCATTTTTGTCAGTCTGGCAACTTGCTGGTTTGTATAGTTTTACTGTATATGGAATCCGTACTTTAGAAGACATATTCCGCTGATCTATTAGATTCATGTAACGGTTAAATGTAGTAGAAATGGTTCATTGCATCTATTTACCAGTAAATGAATTCAATTTAATTTTAAGTTAGTAATTAATGTGCTCCCCCAAAATATACTTACTTTCTGACTCAGCTTCAGCCATCTTGGTATTTTCACTTAACACGCCCTTCGAGAAATGATATACATGCACCTATCATGTGATGCCTGAGGTACTGATAATACATTTCTATATATTTGATAAAGATACATGACCAAGATTTTAAACAGGTAAGATCTATTTGATCGAAATATCTTCTTTTTCTTATTTCTCATTGTCCATAGTTCATAACGGATCGAGACAATCATTTTAATACGAGCTAACGAATATAATTTGTTACTAAAAATATCAAAAAATACTTAAAACCGCCATGTGTCATGCAATCTGTTAGAAAAAAAAAGAGTTGTGTTAAAAGGATATCTGATCGTATCTAATATATTATATTTAACCGTTTAACTACAAACTGAAAGTTATTACTATTAATTTTTAACTTCGAAAAAGAATAAACAATAAAATTGCATTATTACTTGCACATTTTAAATCAGTTTCTAGAATCCAGCTACTTGACTTTTACAAAAAGCACTGACTTTTACAGTAGAGGGCTTATTTTTACACTTTGGCGAACAACGGAAGCTCTTTTAGGATGTAAATATTTTGCTCAAGTTTCACATCAAGGGAAATAATGGGTCATTTTAAAGCACATAATTATGAGTTGTCCTTGAAGAAAACGACAACCATGCTACCCTCAACTCCTGGTTTTCATATTTAAGTGTCCCTTTCATCATACCTATTACCACTAGAAAGGTTTTCCCATGTATTATCAAATATGTACTTCCGTACATAATTCAAGTTTAAATGTCCAAGTAAACCGTCCAGTGTAGAAGTCAGTGCTTCTCGTAAAAGTCCCCTAGTAGTTAGCTTTGCTCTCATGTCGTAGTCAGTCACTAGTAGCTAGCCTGTTTTCTATTTAAAGTCAGTTACTAGTAGCCAGTTACTAGAAGTTTCCTTAACACACTTGTCATAACCAGTTACTAGTAGTTATTTTACATATCTGGATATCTTAAAGGAAAAACTGTCTAGGTTTTTGGTTTTAAGATGTGATCAATCAAGTTGCTCACGTGAAAATTTTTTTAAACGCCGAGACCTTTATGCGTAAAATTATGGGCTAGCAAATTCAACATGATACCCCACCCACCAAAAAAAGACAGTTATGCCTCATATTTAAATTTTTAGCTGATCCTTATAGCTCAATAGTAAGATTTCTCAGAATCCCCATTAAGTGTATTACTAACAAAAATGCAGCAAAAAAAGCAGACAGAAAATTTCTTTTGATTTGATTTATTACTTCTACCATACTGGAGTATAGAGCATGCAAATTTCTTTAAGTCGTGTAAAAAGGGACAACCAACTGCCTCACAAAACTACTGCATCAATGCTTTAGCAGGTCAAGACCACTACCCTTTATGGAAGGTAATTTTCAACATGTGACGATGTCTTCTTCACAACTGTTCTCCTTTCAAGTGAATGAGTCCCAAAGCATGACAGTCTGCTACGTGTTTACGATTCAATAGCTACACGTGATTTTCGGCGGTCCACTGCATAACATTTACTTCGTATTGGAAAAACTGTAGAGCTTCTTAACTATTTTATAAGTACGAAATTGAAAGATTATATTCCAAAGGCTTCTCCATGCTCACATTTAATATTGGAGTTGGAATATACAACAGAACTTTTTGATAATATTGAGGGCTTAAATTATAATTTTGCATCTTGCAATGCTGTTTAAAGTTATTTACCGGTACACATTTATCACGTGATAAAAAACGCAAAGCTTCGTAAAGCAAATTTTGTGGATATGTGAGCATATACATGAACGATTATATATCATTTTAAATACCGGGTATTTCTATCGTAAATCAAAAAAAGAATTGAAAATAAGTTCCCAAGGGGCAATTCAACTAGCCCTTCATTTTCAACACAGTTGAATTCTTGTATCGCACAATGCATAGCGACTCATTCATCAGTAGGTATAGAAAACAGATTTAATTTACAGGTCTCGACCTGTTTTTTTGATATTGCTATTTCATGTTTGAAATATAAATTAAGAACCCTCTCTATACTGCACACTAAAGAGATCTGATTGTATGGTAATTTATCGCAAATATATAGAGATCTGTCATTAAATCTAAATCCTAACAAAAAAATAGAATTTTTCAGTATATATCTAAATCTGTTATCAATTAAGGTTTTATTAGCATAACATTTTAAAAGGCCACGGAAAATCAATTTAACATTTTTTTCTGGATAAATGCGGCGTACAATATAGTGAAAATTATATAAATCAGTTTAATATTAACACATTTATACAATACATTTTTCTCAAAAATAAAAAAGAGAATTGAAAAATGGTGTAGCCATTTTACAAAACTGTAATAGGATAAAAAAATAAAAAGAAATTGAGCAGTTTCGTCCTTTTTCTCCTTTTTTGAGCAACACGGAGACAAAATCCAAGTCTTCAAACCTGGGTTGGCAAATAAGGTTAATTAGCCTGTGTATGTATTGGTTACATCATAGAAGCCGAGTGGTATTGATTATATCGTTTTCATGGGGCGTGGAAATCGAGAACGCGGAGCGCCCAAGATTTCCACGCCCCATGAAAACGATATTACCAATAGTACGAGGCATCTATGATGTAAGCAACTTGTCGCATGTCTGATGACGTAAATTTCATTGAGAGTGTCAAAATTCAATAATGAAAAAAAGATTCATTTTAAGCTAGCTCTCCATGTCGGACGTTCTTAGTGAATTTGAATTTGCCTTTTATCTTAATTTGAAGATTTTGACAATTTATCTTTGATCCAGGCACTCAACAAGTATGAAATCACAGATTCTGAAGCAAATATCAAGGAGTTTAACGATATAAAGTTTGGAGAATTTACCATAACTTTCAAAATTTCAGTCGCCCGCGTGGCGCAGTGGTTAGAGCGTCTGCTCTAGAATCGCGAAGTAAGGAGTCAATCCTTACGTCGCGGGTTCGAATCCCACTGCGGGACGTGGAGACCGGTCCTTCGGATGAGACCGTATAAACCGAGGCCCCAAGTCGCAGTAGGTGCTGGCACGAAAAAGATCCCTCACTGCTCAAAGGCCCTGAGTGCCGAGTATAGGACAAAATTTGTAGCCCTCCACCGGCCAGTGGTGGCGTCTCCATATGAGTGAAAAATTCTCGAGAGGGACGTTAAACAATATACAATCAATCAATCAATCAAAATTTCAAAATGGATTAATATTTTGAACGACTGGGAACTTTCAACCGAGTTAAATACATGTATTTTAATTCAGTTTAAGGCTAAGAAATAGCTAAACATGTTCATTTTTCTGTGGTTATGTGAAATAAAATCAGTTTTTTTTTCTCATGACCTGATTTCTGCCTCCTGCAGTGATATATGAAGGGGCGTGGAAAGTATTATCGCATATGTGATATGGGGTATATCACCACAGAAAGATGAAAGAAAATCACCGCAGATATGCGACAAAATATATTTTATTATTATAAATTTGGAAAGTACATGTATATTAGATATACATCTACATGTATATATAAGGACGTATTTGAATGAAATGTGTTTTAAAGACAAGTAACAATATCGATCCTCTTATAAACATAGGGTCCAAATGACCATGTTTCACTTCCATTCTAATTTACCATATAGGGCGGAATTCTATCACCATGTAAAGCAAATGTTTAGATTTGCCTTAATGGCTGAGCGGTCCAGCAGGTTGTTCCTGGACTACGCAAACAAATGTTTCTGCATGTGGAGAGAGAGAGAGAGAATAAATACGTTTGTGAGTGTTTTGTGAGGCAAGGTGTGCGTGTGTGTGTGTTAGAGTGATCGTTGTTATGTGTGAAGGTGTAAGTGACAGCAAGGTTGTGTTTCTACATGTCTACATGTGTGGCAGGTTGTGTTTCTAGATGTCTACATTTCTTTTTATCTTTTAGGTGGCTTCATTGAAAAAAGGGAATCCGACAATGAGAACAGACATAGAACTACCTAGCGATGAAGGTGTGTTTTCCAAAAGTGAAAATCTATTTAATACAGAGTTGCATTTTTTTGTATTTGTATGTTTTTGTATAATTCGGACATTTTCCTATTCTTTGTCTAAGGAAGAGACCAAAAAAATTAAAAAGAAAAAACGAAACAAAAACATACAAACAAACAAGCACGCCGCCTGACAAGTCTTCTATCTTTCATTTTCAAATAGCTAATTTCATATGTATTTACGAATTTTATTAAATAAAGAGGCAGTGCAATTCTGTGGAAGGGAAAATACAGCTTTATTCAAGAAAGAAAATACTGAATCCCAAAAAAGTAAGATTATTTTACACTATTACTTGAAATGTTAAAAAAAAATGTATCTATTGTAAGCAACTCAAGGGATAACTATTATTTTTCTTCTTTAGCATTTATGCATAACATTTCTACAATAATCTTAATACTTCGTATATTTAAATTACAAGGATGAACCAATGATTTAGATTTAGCTTCAGATTAATTGTGTGCAATCAGAATCTTTTTTAACAAAATAATTTTGCAAATTACCAATGACTAGGTATGTAAATTTACGAGTTCAATTTTTATTGAAAAATCAGCCGTCAATGATATCAAATAGCCTGGATTTTAATTTATCGTGGGGGAATGTTATGGATAAAGCTGAAAAGTCGTAATTTTTAAAGCTGTTGATTTTGGTAAAATATTGTGATTTCAAATTGTCCAAAAATTCTTTTGATTTTTTAAGCATCCACATCTGATTCACACCAATACTTGAATATATGGTTGCACAGTACTCTTGAAGTTTTTCCTTCACTACTGTCAAAATCTTAGTGAGAAGTAATGAAAGAGATTTGGTTGAACATTTAATGGAACCCGCAATGTATTTTGTTTGTAAGGATTCTAGTGAAGTTTCGGAATCAAATATACAGGTGACGCTCAATGGCTCGAACTCCGATCTCTCAAAGTTCTCTATCTCTCGAAGTGAACCTCCGGTCCCGTTTTTTCCTCTATATAACTAAGCAAAGGAGTATATATGGTAAGAGCCAATTTTGGCCC